TTGGTTTAGGCTAGTTTAGTTTAACTATTATACGTGATGTACGATTTGGGGGGGGGGTAATGAAAGTGTTCCAAAATGCGACAGAAATGTCTTGATGACCTAACATAATATTAGGATGTTTTTCAAGAAAAATAACTTCAGAAATCTTAACCAGTCCATGTATGTTAACCTTTCCATGCCATGTATCATCCAGTAACAACACATAACTTAAGTAATTTATTGACCATTGCTTCATTTGTGGTATTGATATAAATCAAAAATAGAAACAGTCCTAATACTGAGCCCTGAGGTACATCTTGTGATATTAACATTCAGTTTAACTGAACTCCATTCACAACAACATCTGTTTTCTTCCATCCAGTGAGCCAACATTACCCTCATACCTTTTAGACTACCTTGTCTAGTCATTAACACCTAGTGACTTTATACTAGAAAGCTACTTTTACCAAAAGAAAATCATCTACAGCTGAAATGCTTCATATAGTCAGTACCATTTCAAAAATGAGCACAACTATCAAGTATCATAGATTCTATCTGCACTAACGTTATTTCTATTAAGTGTATATTTACATCATGAAGTAAACAAAGTTGTATGGAACAAGCAACCAAAACTGGCTAACTTTCAAGATCATTTATTAACTAAAGCTTCCTTCAGTGGAGATATGAATTAATTTAGTAGTGACATCTGTGGGAATAGTTTAGACTTTTCACAGAATAATCAGGTATTGAAATTAGTTTTTATGGTGGTATTTATAATTTCTCGTCTAAACCAGATGCCACCAATTATTTATTTAAAGATACTGACAGATCATTGTCTTAAAGTTCTTCATTAATACAGAAACTTGTGATTTGATGATACTTGCTTTCATTAAAAGGCACAGATTATCTAATCTTCCTGCTGTTTATATTTTAGAATTTCTCAAACTAATCTCACCATCAGTGGATGAAGTTATTGTTAATAGTGAGGGTACCATGGCAAGTGAGAAACAGTACATTATAATCATTATAAGAAACATAGTTTGAACATTATTTTATTACTAGATATATATTTTTATAGCTCTGACTTCATCAGAAGGTAATATTAACTGTGGGGTTGTGATTACTCCACATTATTGGGAAGAGTGTCTTTCCTTGAAATGGAAAAGAAATAATTGTTGTTTGTAGTTAGTGTAGCAAGGTTTGAAACAGATCATTTGAAAATAAAAACTTGCAATGCAAATACAAATATAATACAGAAGTAATCCCAGAAGAAAAAGCTGAATGTAAAGAGAAGCCAACTATTTCTGTAATATCACTTGAGGAATAGGTAAAAATATTAATTCAAGGTAATGTACAAGGGAATCGAAATAATGTGTTTTCACATTAAGCCCATTGAGGTTATCTTCTTGAAAGAAAAAATTTTGCAAATTCTAATTGAATCTGCATGGAATTCTGTATGTTAATAAATAGTTATATTTTTCTTATAATTATGATACTTAATATAACTGTGGTTAGTTTCATATATTGCTGATTTCATTTTTTGAATAACTTGTAAATGTAATGATACAAAGAACAGAAACATTTTTTCTGTATGTAGATAATTAGAAAGATTTTCAAACACCGAGAAACAGAAATTAAAACAAAATGCTCAAAGACACAGACAGATAGATATTTCAACAAGACATTACTGTTGCAAAAGAAGAGGACCATTCTTTACATTATTATCAGTATAGATGGATCACCAGTTATAAATTCAAAAAGGTAAATATTTGGCCAATTACAGGTATAGTGTCAGAGCTGCCAACATATACTCACTATTCAGTAATATAATTATTTTGGGCTTATTTACTGGCTTGTCTAAACCATCAGTGATAACTTTCATACCCTTTCTTCTTCTAAAGCAGGCATAAAACTTTAACAGTAAGGGAATGAAAGTTTTTCTTCATGAGAGTGAAATGAGTGTATATGCCTGTAAAAGCTTTTTTTTTCTTTATTTTAAACAATTCAGTGAAGAGTTTGACTTTTATCTGTGTTCTCATCCAGGAATTATTTTACTAGGAACTGAACATGTGAGTGTATCTTTTCAAAGCAAGTAACCTGATGTCAAATCTGCAGATATGTATGATGTGTTGTGCCTTGACAGTATACACCAACATTAGTTTATTTGGCATTAAATGGAAATTAATTCTGAGAAAAATAACTGTAGTACTTGATTGATTGTATTCATGATGTGTTAGAAGGTGTAAACAAATGTTTGTGGAACACTTTTGTCAACATCAATAACCATCAGAAAACATTTTTACCTCGGCAAAGCAAACAGAGAAGAGGTTAGTAGAAGTTGAAAACTATCAAATTATCTCATAACTCAACCGTAAAGTTCTAAAGACTTAGATGAATTAAAACAATGGAAAACTATAATTTGAAAGGCATAATGCTCTATCTTACACTTTTTATGGAATACGTTCAAACAAAGTATTTGTATTACTTAATATGCTAAGTAACAACTTTGAAATACCTATCGTTACAAAGGGTTTCAGATTTAGGCATAGGCTTAGCATGTGACTGTTTTAAGGAGTTCACTAAAAGTCAGGGTCAACAACACCCTGAAGGTTAAGTATTTAACCCCAGATATTGGTAACTACTATAAACTATTTTTATTAATTTTTATCAGCCTTAAATCATTTACTTAAAAAAAATTTGTTGACCAAAAAATCTTAGGCGATCATTTCAAAGCTTTTATGGTACATTAACTGATATAATAAACACCAAAAATCTCCAATGTTGCTGTGTGTTTGTTGCATTTGAAAGCCATGGTATTTCTGGGTTTGTGACTCTCCTGATTTCTTCTTTTGAGCATTTCTACAAATTATATATGAAAGTTCATTCTTTAGATACAAGATTTACTTGTTTGTTTTATATTCATAGTTTAAGCTTTCCTTTGTGTGCTTTTAAGTTGTATTAGTAATGTTTTTGGCATGAAGCCTAAAATGGAATTTAAGGTGTATATATAAAACTGTGCTGGCTTTGTTTCATCTTTCTAGACACAATGTACATAATAGTTTATCAGTGTTTTCTTTCCTTCCTTTCTTTTTGTTTTAATTTTATATTTTGTAACATTCAGAACAACTTTGTGTTTTAATTTCTTTTCATGTTCATTATGCTACTGTTGCGTCAGCGAGGTCACGTGACTCGTTCTTTCGAACCTTCGGGAATTGTTGGGAGATTACTAGATATAGGGTAGTCTGGTATATAAAAGAGGGTTACAACGTGATGCGTCAATTAACGTGTGTGTAGGTAGTGAGTAATTGAACTGCAGTCAGAAGTATTGTTGACGTTCGTTGATATAGGGTTTGTTATAGAGCGACTGTTGAAAATAAGTGTATCGTAAAGTTGTATTCGGAAAGAATAAACCAGTTTTATTAAGTAAGGAATTGTGTCGCTAAATTTTCATCGGAACGAAGTTACGGAAAATCAATTAACAAATGGAGACGTAACACTACTATATCAAGAATAAAAAGCAAGAATGACTATTCTTGATAGCACTAGCTCTAATGATAGTAGCTGTGTTACCAAAACTAGTCTACTGAAACTTCTAATTAAGATTTTATCTTTCATTGTGCCAAAATGTTTTTTTTTATTCTTAATATGTCTCTGTGTATATTTTCCCCAATTATTTACAGTTTAATTTCTATTTTTCTTTTTTATTTATGAGTTTACTTGCATTTTTTGTTTGTCAGGATATTGTCAAGAAGATTTCAAGAAATTCTTCGGAAATCCCCTTTTCAGTACTCATAAATGTAAGGGATTTCCCTTAATATAAAATGATGACATATTGTTGTATCTTGAGGATTTCCAGCAAATCAGAGAAATCAGGACCTGCAAAAAAATGTAGATTCACATATCTTTTATGCAGATGTATTTCCTTATGGGTGCAATGGTTGAGTCTTAAAAAGTGAGACAAGAAGACTTACACAAGAAGTAAATGTTAAATGGAGATATTCATAATCATCAATGCAGTAGCATACAAGGCAAGTGATCATGTGTTTATCGGTGTGACTAACAAGGGCTTTGAAGACTATTCAACAATATGCTCTTGCTAGTGCATGTTTTTCCACCTTATGCTAGTGTAGAAAAGAGAATACGAGAATGTTAAAATGTAACACAATAAGTTAACCTTTGCTGCTACTTATGCAAAATCCAAGTTTCCACTTATATTTCACCACAACAGTAATAATCCATACCTTAAGAATAAATCTATGCTCCACTATCTTATGAAGCAATATATGCACAATTCAGTCACTGACAAACTTAAATAATTACTTAATTAAATTACAGGTGAAATCGAAACATCATCCATAAAAAAGAAAATGAAGGTTAACCTTAAAGTTACAGGAGAACTGAGGAGTTCTCAGAGAATAAAACTACATAAAAATACACAAACCTGTTTCAAGTAATAAAAAGTGAGAACTCCCTATTAAGAAGTGAATGTTACAGGAAAACTGTTCTAAGTACAAATAAAACCAACATTATTTTACAAAAGATATTTTAAAATTTATGCATATGAAACCTGTATAGAAACACGTAAAAGTCTCTTTAAAATCCAAGCAAAATCAGTGTCAAATGTAGGTGAAATCTGTGACTAATTTTGGTAAAACCTTCATTAAAAACTTGGTAAAATGTAGTGACAAACCTACATAAAATGCTTTCTCAGGCCCCATAACTTTTAAATATGACAAAACCTCTCAAGTTTTTGAGAATGGGCAGTGAATATCATGATGAGTCCGCTTGCAACTGTATCCTAAGAATTGTGAGATACTGTATTAGAGCTTTTTTGTTTGACTATACAAAGTTCAGCCTATATTTATGGATTGTTTCTTGATTTTGGCTCTTGCTGTTTTATGGAATCTCTCTTTTCACCTCAACAATGAGTTAAAGTCACAGAACTAGAAGCCATGCCAGTTTAATAACGCTACACTCATGTTGTGAATATAAAGAGAATATTTTATTTTTTCACTTGCGTGTTAGTATGTTTAACAATCTTGGACTTTCATTTTGTGGATCTTCATAGCTACTTGTTGAAAATTAGTGGACCTGTATAACAAACATGTAAGTCAGTGCAAAACATTTCATCACTGAAAACTTTCACAACAGCTAGGTGTGTGAGCTGAAACACTGAATTATGTATGCAACATCAACAACAAAAAAGTATTGTTTGCGGTACTATAAATGCAATAAACAATATATTTCAAAATCACTGCAAATATTAAGTACCCCTGTAAGTAAACAGTGGGTGACTCTGCTTGTCTGTGAACTTCAAATTATCAGAAGAATCGCATAATGACAGGACTGTGCTAGAAGCTTTATGAATAGAAAACTGGACTTTTTCACAAAGTGGACTGAACAGAGAAGTCATTGTCTACTTCCCGGTGTGTTTGATTACCTTTACTAGTGCAAGATATAATCTATAGCTCATCATCATCTAATTTTTCTTTAATATTGTAAATCACTGCTTTTTTAGTGATAGTAAGACACTTCATCTGTAATTTTAACATGAACAGCAATATGACATGATTATCAAGTTATGTGTCTTCTTTTTTTTTAATTTTTCAAGCTTATTGTCATACAATGTTTGAGCCATTACATTATTTTATGCCACTGATCAAGAAGTTGTCTCTAATCTGAAATCTAAGATTGCAAGTAATTGTGTTTTGCAGAGTTCTCTATGTTTATATATCTTATTGTCTGTAACTAAATAAGTTTTAATGTTAATCTAATAGGTGTGGTAATAGTAGTTATAGACAGATATTTAAATATTTAAGCAATTTCCTATAAATCTTGGAAGGGAGAAATTTAAGTGCTCATTATATGAGTGTGCCATTCATAATATTGGAAAAACGTGTAGGTTCAAGAAGTCTTGATAGAAATGAATGAAAACCCTATAACCCTGTTGTTCTTCTTATAATTTCTCAGTAATCAACCTATGTCACCCACAATCAGTTCATTCCCCAAGGTCTACTCTTCTGCCTTCTTGGTCATTATTGTTAATATTGTAATTTGGTGCTTGTGCATCAAGTCTCAACAACTAAGATATAGAAAAAAACAACATAGTCCAACCAGTCTGTTTTATCTTCTTTTTTTTTTGTATTTTACATTTCAGTTACTATTATTAAGTTGCATATTAATCTAACTTAAAATAGAAATTACATACTTTTGCCCTGCAAGCTGTTCACTTATTCCCATCTCTACAAAATTATTGCATTCAGTATCATTTAAAGTACAAGAAAAATAAATAAGTTGAATACATTTTTTAAAAGATGAAACAGTTATACTTCAGATTTTTTAACTGGATCTCTAATCTAAAATAAGTTATAGTGGTTTTTGTACCTTTTAAAAATAATTAATCTTTAAATAATCATATGTTCCTATAATATAATTGGTTCATATTTATGAATTTTTGGGGAAAAAGATAAATATTTAAGTTTTTTTTTAGCTTTTGCATATACTTCATGACATAAAGAATGAAAACATTAATTTTTATTAAATATGTGGGGTTTGACAGACATACCGTGTTCTTCTACCATCTATATATAATGATGTAATTCTTTTTTTCTAAATTGTTGATTATTTAGTTTCCTCAGTGTTATGGTAGCAACATGTGCTTTAGAGGGCCTAACGTTATCTTGTTCTAGCCACCTCAGCCCTTTGTTCTTATATTATATGTTTTCTGTCTGCAAGGACATTTCAGTGTATTTTGAACCTGGGTTAAAACTGGTTAGAACTAGAATTTTCTTTGCTGGCCAAAGTATGACATCAACTGAATCTGATAGTTGGTCAATGCGATTAGGTAACAGAGGTCATGAAGTGATGATGTCCTTTAAACAAAGAAAATAAGTCAATATTTAGAATCTAGGTGCTTTCTTTCAGCTTGTTCTTAGTTTTTACATAAAGGAAAGTTTTTAGAGTTTGTTTGATGTTGAGGTAATTTATCCTGCAAGAAGGGAGATTTTAAGATTAACTGTTGCATAGCTTGGAGAGAGGATTGTCTATCATCACATGTCAATACTCACTCAGCTTTCAGTGATTTTATGCTGCAGAATATAAAGATTTTGTTCATTTCACATAAAGTATCAAACTCTGTTGTTTTTACACATACTTAGTCAGAGTTCATTTAAACCACTAGGCTGAACCTGCATTTATTCAGTTATTTCTGTCTAAAAACTTGAAGAGAAATCAGTTTAATCTGAGAATATCATAAATGTAGAAATTACTTAGAAATACTTTGTGACAACATTACATATTCAACAGCTTGCATTTATGTTGAATATTATATTGTTGTATTTTCTAATTTTTTGATTTAGATGTTTGTATTGTTTGTTACAGGAAGTGAGCTTGTGATGTCACAAATTTTCTTGAGCATTGGTATGGATTTATTTGACTGAGTAGTAAGCTGTTGATGATTAATGCATCTGTGTTATTTAGTCCATAGTGTAAATGTTTTTTTGTTTTTTATAACAAAGTACTGAAGTTGTAGGATTATGTAAGTTATGACTATTTAGTTTGAGTCAAACCTACCAGTGCATGTAACTTGTAGAACTTGTACATTGTAGTTGAAATAATAAAACACTTTTCTTTCATTAACTGGACTGGACTTTCATTATTTTTACCAAATAATCAAAAACAGTGTGCTCGACAACAAGTTACATCAATTTATTTTCAAATAAATCTTTGCATTGGGCACTATATTTTAAGTACACGTTTTTATGAGATTGTACTTATGCATGTTCAGAATGCTTCCTTATGTAATATAATGCAATGCATTTTTCCCTCTAATACTTCATTATCTTTTGACCATTTATTCTCAAATATTCATGATTCATACATTATTCCCTCCATTAATAAGAAGTGTTCACCTATACACATAACCAGAGATTTATGATATCTACATGTATCACTTAGTTTTTAGTTCAACAGTATGGATAGTGTGTATATATATGTTTGCTATCTCCCTTTTTTGTATAATATTTCATACTTTTTAAATAAATGTCAAAGAAAATATGTATCAAAAAGTACATATCAATTAGAATATTAAAGTTATATCTAACTGTTGGTGGAATAATATTTAATTAATTAGTTTTTAGTTAACTAACAATGTTTTGTAATTTAAGATATCTAAAACTTAGTATCCCCTAATTAAGTGTAAGTAATTAGATTTATAAAAGTTTGTTTTTATTGTATCAAAGTGTTATATAACTTAGTTATATCAAAACTTTATTTGAATACTTCTTTTTACTCCTTAGTTAGAATTTTATGTGCAGTTATCAAGTGAATGTTGTGGAAAAGCTGTGCAGAAGAAACTAGAAGAATTAGATGGAATACATCAAGTAGAAATTGATGTTGAGAAAGAAACTGTTGTATTGGAGACAACTCTTGCTTCATCTCAAATAATTCAAGCATTAGAGCTCTCTGGAAGACGAGCAGTTTTTAAGGGCTATGGGACAACATTGGGTGAAGTACAGTTTTGTTTATTAATTTAGGGAAATATTTGTTTGGTGATATACCTTTGTATTTCTAGAAGAAAGTAGGTAGAGAATTACATTTTAAAAAGGAATAAAGTTGAATAAGTAAACATGAGTTTGCATTATATAATTAAGATTTAACTTCTTTAACTATATGAGAAATTGGTAGATTTTTTTTCTTAACAATGACATATGATGTCATTTGTCCCTGGTGATTTATATTTTTATGATCATTTGTTTTGCTCATTAGTTTTGAAAGCACTTTATTGTACTTAATTGTTATGGGGAATGTTGAGTTTATTATTTCTTGTAGAGCAATTCATGAAGAAGGTTTTTACTTTTGGTTTAAGTTTCTTATGGCCAAAGCTTCTATGATTCTTACATCTTGTTCATTGTTAGAGCTACATATGATATAAAAGTTTCTTCAGTCCCATCAAATTCTTGTGCAAGATTTCTAGAGATGTTTGAAGAATTACAGATATTAGGCTTCAGATGCTTCTTTATACATGTGATTGATCCCATATAATCTCATTTCTATCAAGAACAAACTTATTGATAAATAACTTATCAATATATTTTGTTATTTTCATTAAAAAAATAGAAGGTGTGAAAAAAATGTTTTGTAGGGAAATGGTTTTCAGATTTCATTACTCAACAACAACTTCAAATGTTTTTTACAAGGTGTGTACACCCCTCATAAAGATAGTTATGATGTTACAAATTTATCATTCTATGTCAGTCTCCCATTTATGGTTAAAAACAGTGATGGTTTGAGAAATACAATCAAAAATATCTTGAAATCAAAGTATCCACAAATTTTAATGTATGTAGGTCCAAAAGCACTTTGAGAATATAGAACTTTTTCAAGATAATGAACCGATTCAATAAACTGCATTGCTCCTACATTGTTTATCAATATGTTTGTTCTTGATGGGGGCAGAATTATGTCAGATCAACCATGTGTCATTTCATTTAGAGCAGTGGTTCCCAACCTTTTGTGTCCCTTGCACCCCTCCCCTATAAAGTCACAAACTCTTCACTTCAGAAAAGCCTTCCCTGCTCATCTCCACGTAGAACACGCATCAGCTGAGATGAACATATGTCCAGCTTTGGTAAAATTAGACACTTGGGGGAAACGGACCTTGTATAAGCCTCTTCGGCACACACCCTGGACCCTCATTTTGCACCCCCAGGGGTTGCCAACACTTCTGGTTGGGAATCCCTGATTTAGAGTAATATATAAAAGAGGATCTGAAGCCTAGTGCTGGTAATTTTTCAAACATGTACAGACATCTATACCCATAATGTGAAGAGATTGCATAACTTTAACATAGTAAGTAGTTCCAATAACAAATAGGGCTTAAGAAACTTAAATCTAAGTTGAATTCTAATTCATCAGCATTTGAAATCCTTCTAATAATTTAAGATGTTTTTTATGAAACGATTTAAGTGAAATGCTTTATTTTTTATTGTAGGTTATATTTAAGTAATAAAAGTTAATATATGTTATTGATTGTATACATTCATACTGTTAGTTATGAAATACACATTCTGATACCTTGTTTTGTACTGCCCTCTCTATAAGCACAGATATTTGCTCACCACAAGTGATATAGCTACATTGTAGTATGCAAATAAGCATTCAACAACCTTCCACCAAAAGGAGTGTGATACACCCTGCTAGTGCAGCTGACTCTCTCTCTCTCTCTGTGCAGTAGAACCTAATATTCACTTCTCCATTTGGCACGACAGTGATCAGTTGTTTCACTTGCCTCTTGTTTGAATTTGGTGTTCCTTGCCTTTTGTATTTGAGATTTTGCTTTCATTTTTGAACTTCAAGAATATATTTTTTTTTTACTTTTGTTTATCATCTTTTTCACAAAGTTTCATTACTATCTCACATTGCAGTGATTTCATCTAATTACTATGGTGTGCTTACACTCAGGAGAATTCCCAGTTTCAAGTCACAACCACTACTGCTTCAGACACTGCCAGTGAACAACAGCCTATCACAGTGGCTTCAGGTTCGATGTTATTGGCTGAGGAAGTTTTGGCAATTGTTGCCAGGAGATGGTTTCTTTCATGCGGGCTGGGGGATCTCTTGTCCACTTCTTTCCTTTTCAGGCAATGTCTCATTTCCTGCCAACTTTGATTGGCAAAACAGTAATGATCCATTCTGACAACTTGAAAGTTGTCTCTTACATCATTCGGCAAGGGAGCACCCGGTCATGATTCCTGTGTTTTCACACATTGGACATGCTGTTCTGGGCCCACAGCCATCACATTCATTTGCTGGCTTATCATATCCCAGGTACTCTCAATCTTTTCACAAATCATTTACCTTGTCCCGACAAGATTCTCCCCATGAAGTGGTCCCTTGGCTTTCAGGTTTCCAAATGGTTGTGCTTGCAGTTGGGTACTCCCCAGCTAGATGCTTTTGTCACTCACCAGAATAACAAACTACCTCTGTTTTGGTCTCCTGTTCCTCATCCTTATGCCAGTGTAGGTGGCATGACTATCCACCTACTGTGCGTCTGATGTTCTATTTCAGACGATGTTTGGCATAGACTTATTTCTTCCATCACATTCATAAATACAGTTCACCTCTCTGATTGGAAACCTACTGCTGCCTGGATGTTGGTTCCTAGGCGAGCAGAGTTTGTTGAAGCCAGACAAGTCATCAAAAGTCCTCACAGATGAGTGGGCTGGGACTGGGACCATCCTCCTTCTGTGGACTGGGTGATACATTCCTAATGCTGTATGGTTTTGAACTGACCCTCCACGTTGCATTTTGACATTCCTACTGTCATCCAGTTGTTAGTTCGTGGGGGATACAGGCACATGTTGGATATGCACACATAATGAATTGGGTTATCAGAAAGGAAGTATTTCTTCCCTTCTGGTTCCTGAGACTGAGATGAGTGGTAGACGACCCTCCTCCTACCATGGACTGATTGATCCCATCTCTGTACTTCTGATTTTGGACTGTAGTTGACCTCCCACTTATGGTCTGATGTGCCCCAGCCACTCTACACCACAAGCATTTTTTTCTTTTTGGATGTGCCTTTTCACCACCCATTACCAGACACATTCATTCATCAAAGGAATGAGTTACCTGGTTCAGATATGGTGTGGACTCCCACAAGTGTTTCTTCTACATTCAAATGGCGCACTCCTTGGGTACTCTTCAGGTACTTTTTAAAGGAGACACTTCTAGGTAACTTTTACATCAGTCCCCTTCACCTGCTTAATGTGGGATTCTAGCTATTTTGTGAGATGAGGTAAGTTATTGTATCAGAAGTTAATATTTTCCTACACTTAAAATATGTTTCTAACAGGTACTTACCTCCTCTCACACATCCCACCCATCCTCCCCACTAATGGTGTGTTTTTCATGCTTAATCTTGAAGTGAAGATTGGGTTCTACTGCATAGAGGGAGTCAGCTGTGCTAGGAAGGTGTGTCACACTACTAGTGGTGGAGGGTTGTTGCATGCTACAGTGCATTTATACCACATAGAAAATGTGTAGGTAGGTGGGAGCATAAAGGTTAGTGGTGAGCAAAAATTTGTGCATAACACAAATCAAGGAAAAATATTTTGTAAAGTAAGTATCTATTGGAAATATATTTTCAATGTAGGAAAATATTAACTTTAATGGAAGTTGCTGTTATATTGGGCATTTACCGGACATTAATAAAAAGTGAAAACTTAGTCTGTGTATAATCCAAACACTTCATCTGCTTGCCATGCTATTGCCCACACAGTTAAGCTACTATATCTCAAATTCTGCAGAAATAGTGTAGACCAATTATCTTGTTTAGCCCCAAACTCATTTATTCCAGTTTTTATTTGGAAATAACAGTGCTGTGTTTGTAATTAGACAAGTAATTAAGGTTGACACATCACCTTGTGATATTCCATGATGTTATCAAGGAGGAAATAGAAACTAGGCAGCAGTTGAACCAACAGCTCAGTTTTCTGAGCAAATGCTTTAAGCAACAGCACTACAGCATTTACAATTCCAGAAACATCAGTTTTGATTTATTTTTACATATATTCCTTGTCATAATCTTTGAGTTAAATTAATCAGCTTGTAAAGCTTATTCCACTGACAAAAATACTTTTGAAAATGAAATAGTAAATTCACAGTAATTAAAATTGGAGGATTTTGTATAAACTTTTAGATTAGATTTATATACATTTCATATTTCATAATTTTTTGGAAATGTTGTTTGTTTTGAAAAGTAAACATCTATTTTTATAGGATAATTAATTTAAATATAGTGCACAAATAAAAGTACCCATCCCCAATGACTGGAAAGTTTAAGTTAGTTTATCAATTTACGTTATTTCAAGGACTTTAAAAAAAGTTAATTGTGTTGGACTCTTGGTTTCACTCAGAGCCTAAGCTCCAAGCTACTTATTGTTGAGCATTTCAATCATGCTAAGAGCCACTCAACAATAACACATGGTAAATCTACATTTTATTCTTTAAGTTACATCACATTTTGAAATGGGGATGATAGTGTGATTAATTCCTAACAATTTAGTGTAGAATATTCTGCTTGCAAAGTAAAATTTAGCATCAATGTTATTCATGCCTGTTCTCCCGTAATTTCAAAAGTGCATGTTGAGCCTTGCCAGCATGCATAGCTTTTCAGATAGCCCATTGTGTAGCTTTGGCTTAACTACAAAAACTACAAACAAAAATACACAAGGGTGATGGATGATTTGTCCTTTAACATGGGGAAAATTGTACCTGCTAGAAATCATAGCACATAACTACCCAGTACTGCCAAACTGTCTTCCCATGGGTTTTCTTGTGTTTTTACTTGTTTTTTTTTTTTCATATGCAGTTTAGCATTGTGACAAATGAAAATTAGAGAAATGCCACAGTTTATCTTTGATTTTGTTTGTTGGCTGTGAAATACTGCAAGGCGGTAGAATAGAATACAAAAGTCTCACTTATATTTTCAAGCAAATCACAACTCCATGTTTATATGTTTCCTTAAAGAGCAAAGTGATATTTTCATGGATTTAGATACTGACGGATTGAAATGTCGTATACTGCCTGTACATATAAAATATAATTAGTCCTATTGACTGTACTGTCAGAAGGCATCAGCTTTCCCATTATTCTGTGTGTCACTCAATAAAAAGTTATGGAATAAAAAATACACATAGTTCATGGTATTGGAGATTGGTATATATGTCAACATCATGATTCAAGAGTGGGTGATTGTGAAAATCTGTTTTACAGTGCAAGAAATACAAAGAAAAATAACATTTAAAAGTAGCGACCCCTAACTTAAAAATAGCCATTATGGTAATTTTCACTAGTTTTTTTTTCAAATTGCCCTTTAAAGTTTTTTTTTTACCCAGATCTCACTTATCTTATTAGATATCTTTGCTGACTGTTAGGATCTTTCTCGGAAATAATAAGCTTTAAGATACTCTTCCTCTTCTGCTTTGTAGTATTTAGGCATTTCATGGTCAAGCAAAAGACAGTTCATCTTATTTTTAACTGCCCAAGTTTAGTAAGAAAATAACATAATATTGATAAAATTTATTACGCCTAAGATCCAACAAGTTATCAATGCTGGTTAGTTGAAAATAAAACTTGAATATATTTTATGTGAAGCAGTATTCAAATACAGAGAAGAGACCTTAAAAGCAACAAAGAAATGCTTTTATTCAGTGATAACACTTAATTTGTACAAGTCACATGCCACACTCATGGAAGTTTTAACAAAGTTTTTTTCTCCTTCAGATACAAAATGTACTTTATTGAGTTTCATATATTTAACTGTCCTTTTTTTCTTACTTTTCAGTCTGTAATAAAAAGTAGTTTAATGTAAAATTATCTTTAGTTTGTTGAATATGTACTGTTTGCTTAAGCACCAGTTCTCATGTGTAGGATATTTTATATGTAGGGAGCCCTTTCTTAGGAGCTGCAGTCGCTGAAATGAAAGGAATCAGTGGAGTTTTAGGTGTTGTTAGATTCCTGCAATCCAATGAAAATACGTGTATCGTAGATGGAACAATTGATGGACTAACTCCAGGGGACCATGGAATTCACATCCATGAATTTGGAGATCTGACTGGTGGATGTGAAGGGTAGGCACATATAATTTCTTCTTTACCTGATTTACACAAATTTATAGTATATTTACTAGAATGGATGGATTGGTGCTGGTTAGGTCTCAATCTGTTAACTCTCTCACTACAGTGTTTATGAACTACACGATTCTAGCAGTGACAGATTTATTTTGAGATACACAGTAAGGAACAAAAACACAGGTTTTAATATTTTATTACTTATTTGAAACTTGAAATCTTTAAACTTTAAGAAGTTTGAAGGAGAATACCCATTCTTAATGATAGTACAAAATTACAAACTCATTTGTGGTTAATAGCACACTTTTCAAGGATAAAACACTGTAATGTGTCTTATATATATATATATACCTGTGGCAATACTCAACAAGGGGGACATGCATATGCCCATATTAGTGAAAGTATTAATGTTCAGTTTGAAATAATATGTATTTTATCTGGAAACAATCACATTTAATACAGGGAGACCATATGTGTCTATTTTAAATACCATACAACATTTGATTAGCACAATTACTTTGTAACATCAGAAGTATTTGTTTTATGAATATATATACACACAGCGTGGTCACAAATAAATAGACACCACCTTTTCAGAAAAAATTAAAATTTTCAGTCATATTCACATGAATTGATATATTTATAATTTAATTAATATCTAGTAGATCTTTCTTTCGCTTTGTGGAGTTCGTTGATCCTTTGGGGCATCATGAGAATCAT